AACACCAACAGATGAAGAATTGTTTCATGTGCAAGTAGATGGACTAGTAGCACACCTAAGTGGTGATCATTCTTTATGCTGGGATGAGGTATGCTGGTTGAAAAATAATTCAGAATTAGAACTCAAGGAACTCATCTTTTAATGTATTCAGATATTGAATGAAAGGCTTTTAGAAAAATGCCACAAGAAGAAAGAGACTGAAAGGAGATTGAGAAGTATCAGTTGAAAGATAAATCATCATTATAATATTGCAATCCTTCATTAACATCTTGATTAACATCTTTGTTTGAAATTATTAGTGGAAATGCTTTTATAATTAATTTTAAAAAATTGTACAAAAAACATATTGTTCTGTTTTCTTTTTTTGTTTAAATTTTTTGTTTGCCAGGCTTTTGTAGTTTCGTTATCCATTTCATTTAAAACCAATATGTATTTTGTTAATCAATTCTTTCCCGTTTTTAACAAAACAATAATGGATATAATTTAATAATAGTAAAAAGTCAATTGAGACCAAAACAAGTAATTTTAATGATGATGATAATACAAAATTTTTTTGAATCAGTGGTGATTGGACCTGGGACTAGACTGTTCCAGTCCAATTACCAACACTGCGAGTTAACATAGTAAATTTGTTAAACTTGTACTGATTTACAGACAGTATTAGTATCGTCACCAATTATTATTTGGGAGAGTGTAATAATTAACAATAACAATAATTATTATGTGAATCGGTTATTACTAACTACGAGTTTCATTGATGGATAATTTTATTTAGTTATTTATAAAGAAATTTTTTATTGAGTCGAAACTAATTTGTTGTTGATTTATCTCTAAGCCAATATAGTTGTTAAACCTCATTACAAATTTAAATCACATCGAATTTGAACTGCTTATATATCATTAATTCAATTATAGGTGCTCTTGTCACACACTTGCGTCTCCAATACTATTCCGTGCTTGTATAATCGCGCTTTTGTGATAAATAAAGTTAATTCGCAATTCACCAAAAACGGAAAGAATTAAATAATGCAGATCGATGCAAAATTACAATCAAATACAAAAACCTCATTCACATTTATGCATAATAAAAGACATTTATGCTAATTTTTTACCAGTAAAGTATGAATTTAAAACCGGCTCGGGATTATAGGTAAAATTGCAATATTCGAAACATTCAACTAAAAAATTCACTTGGAGAAATGTAATTAAAGATTTTTATTCGTTACTAGAATACCTACTAATCCAATTTTCAATAGTTTTCAACTTTGAGATATCATTTACTTCCAACTCACCTGTTTTACATTAATTTGGAGATCTTTATATCGTTCATATTTATTTATGTCACCACTATTATCAGAACAACCGTCGAGTGCTTGGAAACTCTTAACACGTTGTTTACCGTGTCATAATATCATTGAAGTTAACTCTCTAAAGACATCGTCGTTTCTACAAAGTGTAGTTCTGCTGATTGTTCCCTCGGTGGAAGTTATTTGTTTAATAATTGAAACAAAAATAGAACACATATTTTTTTAATTATTATTTTTAATTATTA